GGTGTCCAGGAGAAACAGTTATAGATTCATCTATATCTGGCTAAGAGCAAGCATTTATTCTTTAAAAATATTGATTATTCACACATGATTCATGTAAATTTTATACTAAAATGGATAGCGAAATGATATTTGAAGATCCAAAGTGATATTTTAAACTTTTTGCTTTCGAATTTCGAATACTAGATCGAATATTTTACTACGTCATTGATTGGTGTAAATGCGAACAACAGTAATAATTTTTCATCCACACGATTAGAATTTTTAATCTCTAATTAACAATACAAAAAAAATATTCCTCAAATAATTTAATTTATTTGATTAATTAATTAATAAAGACCTTGTTTCTCTCTCTCTATTGTCTAGTCTTTTTTAAAATCATTTTTTTTTTTTTTTTAAAAAAAAGCATTATTATTTTTTGCTTTGTGCTAATTTCAGTGTGTTTGTTAATATGTATCTTGATATTGTTTTCGTCGAGTCAGATTACACCTGTTCACCCGTCGAAACTTTCGCGGTTTTGCCTTTAAAAAAAATTTGGCAAAACATCAAAACTAGTTTTAATTAATTCAATTCAATTTATATTCTTTGCAATTATTGGATCACACATAAATTTATTCAATTTCGTACTTTGAAAATATAATATTCATTCATTACAATTTTTTAAAAATCTTTGTTACCAAAGTTTATTAAATTATGAAATGATAAATGGTTCTAAAGAATATAGAAAATAAAGCTTTATTATAAAATTAATGTAACAAAATAATTTATGAAAGAAAATGAGAATAACAAATTTGTCGAGAATATAACGTGATAAACCATCCCGATAATTTATTCATCAATGGTACCACGGGAACAGGCCATAATTTCGTCACCAATTTAAAGACGAACCAAAAACCTTAAATAGCCCAGGTGTGTGTGTCATTGTTTCGTAAATTAAATTTCACCGGCGTATTAAATTTGGTACCAGGACCAATGGGACACGGACTTCCAGGTACAGCACAAAAAATCTGAACTTTCGCCATCACCATTACTAATTCCAAGACATAACGTGGTACCATCAGAGATAACTTTAATTTTCCAGAGACTATAACGGTCTGGGTTTTTCCAAAAGCGAGAGGTAAAGGTGAAAGTTTTACGTTGAATTTTCCGGAAATTTTCCTCTACATTCGCAAACATTGGTATGTTTCATTTGAAGATGATTGGGAATAGAATCGACCGATGAAAGCGTAACCAATAAAATGAGCAAGAGCTAAGAATTGTTTCATGATTTCGATTTATTTTTCTTTTGTATGATTTTAAATTTTTATTTGTTCCTTTTATTAAGATATTATCTTTTGAATAATGATCAGAGAGGATTGAAATCGTTGCTTTTTTATAATTTAAAGATTTTTAAAACCAAGAAACTGTTGATTATCTTTTAGTATAAAAAAGAATTTTATTTCATTCTCTAAATGACATTTTGATCTAAAACTACTTGCTTTGAATTAATTTTTTTTAAATTATTAAGATTAGGAGGAGCAAATGACAATAATGAACGTAGTACGTAATGAAACTCTTCAGGATCAAATTGTTTCTTGGTATTCAGAATAGGTATACACATATATATGACTGTATTCATTTTGAAAAAAATTACATAATTTGAACACAAGTTAACGCAAATAGGTTTTAAATAATAAAATATCTTTTTTTTTTTTGAATTATGATTGATTAACATCAATCAGATTATCGAATTTCGTTATTTTTCCTAATGGAGAAATACAATGAAAATTTTTCATATCAAACTTCCGAAGATCAAGAATTAAACTGATTTTAGTTAGTTCAGGCTTCTTTTATATAAAAAAAAAATGATTTAAAAAATTAGTTAATCTCATATTTATTTAGCAAGTATTTAAAGAGAATAAGGAAAAATTAATGCCGCAGTAAAACAGCAATAGAATTTTAATTTTTAATCATTGAAGAAAAAAAAGGTAACATGAATGAATTTTTATCTTTCGATCTTTGAGCTAAATAATTTATTATTTTTTTTTAAAAAAATAAAAACCTGGATCAGGGGTATACCGAGAAAAATTTTGATTTCTTCTACACTTCGATTTTCTTTTCCTTTTTTCCTTTTGAAAGGATATTAAAAGCCATATAACCTTTCTTAATTTCATTTGAAATTTTGTTTTATTCAATCGTTATTATCGATTATGAAATTATTGAGATCAATCGCCAAATTTAGACACGTGAATTTTATTACGTGACGTGATGTTCATTCGACGCATAAATCAGAAAACGTGAATGTATAATTTACGGTAGTGAAACATGAACTTTTTACATTTTTCCTATTAGATTTATTTTGACATATATGGCGTGACTTTACGAAAAATTTTAATTACTTCCCACTAATATATCACACCCAAGCTATTAATTAAAAAATAAGACTTCCAACAATTGATATGACATATTCCATTCCAACAATTATTAGAAAGTAAGGCTCCAACAATTGATAGGAATTATTCCATTATTAGAAAGTATAACGAATTTAAACCATCTACTTATGATAGTTACATGTTGAATAGTATATACAGGTTTGTGCCAAGTGTGCACCCATGACTAAGAAGCAAGTACGTAATAAAAATAAAGTATCTGATCATCTATCGAAATTGAATTTAAATTTATAGAAAAATGAGATTATGGGATCGATCATAAACAAGTGTTTGTGCATCAGTCATGTGATTTAAATTTTATTGGTATATGTATAAAGTCATGTGATCTATTTTTCGCGTCTCGTCAATTTGATTTAAAATAAAAAACTTGCTACTAGCCTACATTTTTATTATATCTTTTTTTTAAATAAAAAAAGATGAAAATATCTGACCAGAGAAGAATGCGTCGCGAAACTTCACAAAAAAATCCATCAAAATTTTATTTAGTTTTTAGCAGTAGAAGCAACTGGAGGAATCGTTACTTTTATAATCATAATACTTGACTCTGTGCATAAAGTCTATCAAATAAAGGTAAGATATTTTATTTTGAAAATTTCAGTTTTACCACATAAATTTTTTTTTAAAGGTGAAGGAGACTTCTTATGAGTGACAATAACACTATTCTACCGATCCTAAAACCAAAGATAATGGCCTATTGGTATGTTTGCCATTCCGACTTTAATTTTTATACGAAATATTTTCTCGTCGATTTAGTTTTCTTGAGGAGCTATGTGCACGTGCAGCAGAACCGAAATAGGAATGTTCAAAAAACATGTAATTGAGATACTTCTTATATTTAAATATTTTATTTTTTATAAAACTTAAAATATATACTTTATTTATTTCTAGATTTTAGTTTGCAAAACTCGTTGCCATGTATTCTGTTTAATTTTCTCTATTTGTAGGTACTTGTACATCAAATGTAATATCAAACGTTTAGTAAAACCTGATTCAGATTGAAGAAAGAAAATTACGTTGATTCATGAAATTTTAACGAATCGAATCCTCCTGAAATAGATTTCTCAGGACAAAATTTATTCGGCTTGGTTTGTAATTCCAACGTTAACCAACTTGTTGACCGGTTATTATTCAAATGTGGTTCGTAATTTCTTTTTAGTCATATTGATATTATTTCTTACTAACGACAGACTTTAAGGATTTCGGAATAAGTTTTTAACAAATGATTTTATTTGAACTAAAATTACGTGTTATAACAAAGCACAAATACATTGTCAAGCTCAAAGGGGTAAAGGACAGTTTAAGAACGCTTGATGCGTCATAGAGTAAGTTTATTGTCATACTAATGTTATGTAAAATTTTATCACCGTAGAAAAAGAATTCTTATTTGACTATAAATTTGGTATTTCTGATTTTAGTAATTTTTTGCGAGAAAATATCAAAGCAATAACAAAGACCTGAAATGCGAAGAAAAGCGAATATCATGTGACATAAAAATTCGTAGTGTCCTTCCTGCATTAAAGATTTTGTCGCGGATGTTCATAAGAACGTTGTGTCTGTCCGATGTCGAATAAGAAAAAAAAAGGTGTCATAGAGTGTTACCACTAGCGTTTAAAGGATAAGAAAGAAGTTCGACCACGAAATTTGAGGATTACATACCCGACATTATAACTAAGGGGAACTGACATTGAGATTTCCTTTCCTTAAATATTTAAAGACTTGTTTAAAATAATTTTCTACATTTACAAAAATATGGATCTTATGAACAAGTTTTTCAGATTTCCAAACCGAAGAAATACTATATCTTTTTTCTTTTTTGGAATTATTGTGGCAACAATAATTTTCGGTGCCACAACAGACTTTGAAATGTTTGGTAATATTGTTTCATTTCAAGGCGCAACGATCATATTT